TAGCCGTGTTGTTTGACCCAAAGTTCTGGTTGTCTCTTGTCGTGTAACAAATCCCCCCAGGACTTCGTGGCTTAAAGCAATAATTATTTACTTGACTCACGTCTGCAATTCGGGCAGGGTGCAGCAAGGAAGGCTCGTTTCTGCCCCAGGCGGTGTATCTGGGACAGTCACCTGGGGCTGGAGAGCCACCGCCAAGATGGCTCACTCCCGGGGCTGGTGCCTGAGCACTCGCTTCTGCCTGGGAGCTTGTTGGGAAGCTCAGTACCTGTCCACGGGGCTACTTGAGCTTCCTCGTGGCATGGGAGCGGTGCCCAGCATGAATATTCCAGGATCCGGGAGCTGCCAGTCGCTGAAGGCCTGGGCATCATCACTTCCGTCTCATTCTCTTGCCAAGCAGAGCCCTCCCACATCCAGGGGGAATCTTCTTGATGGGAAAAGTGTTAAAGGGCCTGAGGCCATCTTTTAACTTCCACATCCATTCATTGTTGACTCGAATAAATGCATCCGCCTTCTTATTTCAGGATCAGTAAAGATCCTTTATCTGAAGAGCAAATGGATGCTGCCTTCTGCCCACAGTTCTTAAAAGTCCTAGAGTAGCCCTGGCCAGTGCGGCTCAATTGCTTAGGCATCGCCCCTTGCACTGAAAGGTTGCCAGTTCGATTCCCGGTCAGGGCACATGCCTGGGTGCAGGAGGCAGCCGATAGATGTTTCGCTCTCACAACGATGTTTCTCTCCCTCTCTCTAAATAAATCAATAAAAAAACTTTTTAAAAAAAGTCCTAGAATAAAGCTCAGTCGTGATCATCTTTATGAGTAGACACAGGAATAGCTTTAGAAAAAAAATTGCCATGGTAATCGCATTTTCTGTCCTCCCCTGAACTAGTCATATGGGGATTGGGGTTCCTGAGGAAAAATAGGCCAAAGAAGCTGACACTCGGGGATAAACGGGTATCACACCAGGAATTGGCAAACGCTTTCTGTCAGGGCCCAGATAGTGACTATTTTAGGCTTCGCAGGCCCCTGTCGTCTCTGTAGTGTCGGGCCGTTCTGTGGGCGAGGAGCCCATCATGGCTCACTTCTTTCCTCCCGGCGGCTGGAGGGGCGAACCCAGCTTTTCGAGGCTGCCCGCGTTCCTTGCTCTCCGCCGCTTCTTCCATCTTCAAAGGCAGCAACGGAGTATCTTTCTGACCCCACTTCAGTCTTCACATCGTTCTTTGATCTTAGCCCCTCATCAGATGTCTCATCGCCAAACATGTTCTCCCGTGCAGTGGGCTCCCTTTTCGTTTTGTTGATGGTCTCTTTTGCTGTGCAGAAGCTTATATATGTATGTATGTGTGTGTGTGTGTGTATCCATATATATATATATGGATACACACACACACATATATATGGATACACACACACACACACACACACACACACACACACACACACTGAGTGGCCAGATTATTA